CGCTTTGAGTGCGGCACCCTGCTGCCTCCACCAGAGGGCCTTATAACCTTGCAACTGACCCTTCCAGTTGTCGGGATCCCATATCCACGCTCTTCACTGTAACTGCATTTTCATTTTAAAGTTTTGGATTATTTACAGTATTACATTTCAGAATTCATCTACGTTCATAAATGTGCCAAAGAAGAAGAATTGTCCCTTGTTTGCATGGACCTTCATGGAACGCTATTGCAGAATTAATGTTTACTTTCACAGTGAAACAGTTGAATAGTGTATCCAGTTCACACAACGCCAGCCGTTTACAATGTTAAGAAATGTGCTGTAGCAACACAGTGTGAGTGACTGGAAAAAAACTGGAAGTCAGGCTCACATGAATAAATCAGTCAGTGTAGAAATCAAAGAAGAAAGTAGAGGCACAAAACATTTTGGAAGCTTTCAGAGAACTTTATGCCAGTGAATACATTTTTCATTTTAAGTAGGATGTCTGGATGAGATACTCAAAATCTTGAGCCACAACACCTTAGCTATCTAACATTAACGTTAATATTTACCTTGAAATAATCACAACGTGACACTTTAGGTAAACAGTATGAACACAGCCATTAAAACACAACAAACTGCTGATAAAGACAGTCGGGCGCTGCACTAAAATGATCAAGCCTAAATAAATATGTGATATCCGTTTGAATTAATATCCATCTTAACAGGGATTGTTTGGCTGCTCTGTGCAGTTTAAGATTATCACCGGGATGCTAAATGCATCAATATAGCCAAACACAGATGGCTTGTGATTCATATATTTTTCTTGCTGTTGCTATTATACTCATTCACACAAGCTCCACCCTTTGATCCCTGACAAGAGTGATTCAGTCGTCCCATTCCAGCAGAATAATTTGCGAGCTCACTCTAATCCTGGCAGCACACCTTTTGTTTCTGACCTAGATTTTGAACAGCTTCTCCCGGACGCAGAGATGACCTGCAATTGAGCCAAACAAACAGCAAGATACAAGCCAAGTGAGAGTAAGAAGAAAAGAGATTCTGAGACTTACTGGTCGAAGAATCACAGCAGCTGCTTTCAGATCTGTAGATCAAAATAAAAGCACTTCTGAGGAGAAGGAGAGTGTGTGTCTCCACATACATACACTCTTATGGTGTGAAAGAAAAGGAAGCAGGTGTGAAATACTGTCTTGACACAGTGTGCTGAAGCAGGTGTCTCTTTATTGAATACTTGTTTCTACAGTGTACAGTGAAGGCCACTCCTTTGTGCTTCATCCTGGAAGCAAATAACACCAGATCCTTAAACAAAGTGCACACAGGCACGTGTTCAGAGGTTACAGTTTGGACTTTGTTTTGGAAACTGATAACACACACACACACACACGCACACACACACACACACACACACACACACACACACACACACACACACACACACACACACACACACACACACACACACACACACACACACACACACGCAAGGCTTTGGCTAACACGTCCTCATAACACACCAAACAGTAGGAAACAGTTTTCAGTTGCCCTCTGGTATTTCTGAGTAGAAGTCATGATCCTCGCCCACAGTCAAACTGTCAGCTCCTCCCTCAGTGGTTTCACGTGAGCCTCTGCAGGAGATAGAATCATAGACATGGTCTTAACACACAAAGTTTGATCACGGGGAGAGAAGAAGATCATTTCTAATCTGGTGTCATAAATAAACAATAGAACAAAAAATGTTGCATGAAATGATACAATGTAACTGTATAATGTAACCATAAGTTATGTGCATAATTTTATTTTGTACATTGTTTATTTATCATACTTTGCCTGAAGTTTAGTCCTGACAGTTGCAAACGTTAGCATGAACCTCCAAGTGCAAAAACTAGACTGTAGTGTACTGTAGCAGTCACACATTTCATCTGCACAGTTTTCCTTTAAAAACAGAAACCTATACGACCTCATAATAAATATGTTAAATCATTTTATACGGCACTTTTAAGGTCAGACGCACAAATAAAGTCCTGTGAAAAAACACGGGCTTCTGTTAATTCAACAGCATAAAAAGAAACAAAACAGCAAAATTAGACTAAGTGAATAAACAGGAAATTAGATGTTATATAAAGCTATAGACCCCCCTGAGTGGCCATAGGGGGGGGAAAAAAAGAATAGAGTGGAAGAATAGAAGAGCATGCGAATAGCACGAAATAGCAACTTGTTACCACGCGTCAGTAGCACATGGGAACGAGATACTTTAACCCGTGGCCATGAGTTACTATAAGTGTTAAGGTACTACCTCATTACCATGCATTTTTTTTTTTTTCTCTGTGGCCACTCAGGGGTTCTGTATAAAACAGCAGAATTATAGCAATGATAGCATTTTGCATGCCTGACAAAAGAGTATAAGATCAGACTAGAGAGGTGTTGTTTATAACGTGCAAAGATGCTAATGCACAATTAAGTTCTGTGAAATGTACTGTTTGTACGCTATTATTTAAAAAAGTGTACAGTAATAGAATTGGGTAAAACATTGTACCAAGTGTTACTTTTATCAAGCTAATAATGTTATGTTTTGCATTCAAAAAAGTTTTCACAAGTCCACTATTTTTGAGGGCATAAAATGCCATTGAGTAGATACTGGATTTTGTAGGATGTTTAAATTATTTTCCACAAGAAGCAGAAGTGACATACTTTCAATATAAACTACACAGTAGTTACTGTTAATTAGTTACTCTTAGCTAAATCCAATTCAGTCCAACACAGTCCTACAACAAATCCTTCATGTCATAATGTTTGGTTTTTGCTTAAAACTGTTCTAGAGGGTGTGGATCCCACCATGCAATCATGTATCACTAAGAGGAGAGCCAGAAGGCCACTATAAAGTCCTGATTCAACATTTAGATTACTAAGTGTTTTAAATTCAGCAACTAAAAAGAGTAATAGTGACAGAATACACAACGTATACATTTTTGCACACTGTATTGTGTCGAAGGTTTAAGTTTTCTAACCCATCGATGCTTCTGAGAAAAGAAATGTGCTTCTAGTAATTACAAAGTTGTCTTATGTAAATGTTGTTGTGTGGCTCCCTTTTTAACGTTATTCATAGATATGAGCACTCAGGAGTCACATGTCTTCATATAGTCCTCCTCGAGAGAGAGAGCAATGATTCTTATGTTACATGATTTAATACAATTGATTATACTTTCATACATGGGTGGTTACCTGCCTGTTCATCTGATCTTTTAATTACAGGAGCTGCTTTGTCAGAGTACAACTGATTAGGTCGTGGACAGTTCAAGTCCACAACAAGTGGCACCAGCAGAGTGTCACACCGTTAGAGGAACAGTTTTAGATAACAGCCTTCTCATTCAGTAACCGCTGACAAAAGATTCCCGTTTGCAGGCATTGTGCCAATGGGATTTTCCTTACACGCACCGTACTTGCTTTGTCGGCACAATAAAGGCACAATGGGATGGAAGAAAAGAGTAATGAGAGTAATAAGGAAGTATTAGCCATATTGATACATGAAAGGTAACTTCTACAGTGGACTCATAAGTCAGACACATTAAATATAGCCGTGCTGATTTTAGCACAAGACGTGAGCCTACAGTATCCCAGGAACGTGAGTAGATGATGAACTGTTCTTCCTCACTTTTATATCATGTTCTGAATTATATTTGGTACTAAGTCTGGTTGTAGCATACTGTTAGAAAAAACCTACATGGAACTAATCATGAAACACAAACAAACTTGATATTTGTGTGTTTCGTGTGTGTGTTTGCAGCCGTACCATTTGAATCTGCACATTCCTCACTGAGCATCCCAGTTAGTGTGAAGAGGGCGAAAACCAGGAGAGAGAACATGATCGTCAACACCTCCAGCTCAGTTAACAGAGAGGCCATCGATTTACGCCCGCTGCCGCAGCTGTATGTTGACAGGTGCATGGGTGAAATTTCCAAAGGTCACGTTCCATTGCACACGCTCAATCAAAATTAGGCTTTAAACACTCACCCAGTGTGTTGCAGGAGCATTAAGATGTTGACCATCAATCAGCGACTTCATGACACGACACACTCTGTGTTTTGTCTCTCGCTATCTGTCCCTCTCTCTCTGTGTCACACACTTGCAAGAACTGTGAAGAGCTGAAGTACACATCCCCTCTCAAGTTCAAGTGAGATCATATTAACCCTAATTATTAATGGGCCCTGTGCCTCTATGTATGTGTGTGCGTGTGTGTGTGTGTGTGTGTGTGTAGAAACTTCACATGTAAAATGAAATGAATGTAATAATTTTAGGATTTATGACTGCTCTCAGGTATTTGCTCTAAATGATAAGAGCGTTTAATAGATTTTTTTGGCCATCATGGCTCTCAAACCGAAACTCTCCATGGACAGTAAAGGTCATGTAGTTTTCAGTAAACCCTGTGATGTGGTAGATTCAGCGTGGCAATGGAACAAACACATATCTGATTGAATTTTATGTTAAAGAAGTGAAGCTTTGAAGTAGCGTTAACTTTATCTTTTGCTTTTTTTACTTCCCCATACATACGCCTATTTGTGCACATACATGTATTTGCGCACGTGCGTGTTAAAGGATGCGTGTGGGAATGCACATCAGGCACAACTCAGACCACTTCTCCTCTCAGCAGTCGTTGCTAAAACCAGGGCTGTTGCAGCAGTTACAATGTTCTCTGTGCAAGTGCTCAGCTCATCATCTGCATCCTGCGAAAGAACCAGGAAATAAAGGCAGACTAAAAAAGAAATACTGTACATTTGAGACGGTTCATGACTTGTTGGCTATGACGCTAATTCAACACATGAGTGAACAGGACAAGTACAGTTCATGTCAGGGGTGGTATTTTCAGTCTGGAGAAGTCAACAGCTCGAGCAGAATCAGGCCTAAAGTTCAGCTTTAGTTTAGTTCAACCAAAGCACACTTGGATGGTGATTGAAAAAGAGAAAAGATTACAAGAATTCAGCAAACTGAACCTAAATAGAGTAGGGTGTTCTTGATTTGCTTGTGGTGCTAGATAATTTCGAAACTCTGATTTTGAATGCGTTAACAATAACCTTTATTCAACTATAAAACTGTTGCCCTACTGTCCAAGTTTGATCTTTTCAACCACATTCATCACATGGATAACAAAGGACAACACAGTGTGATTCTTTGACTCTGAATACGCTTGTCTGTCGTGTTTCTAAGAAAACATCTCATCAAAAAAACTTGCAAAATTGAGAAGGATTTCAGTAATTGAGACATGAATATCATCTGTTTGTTGGATCAAACTATTTTTTACTGTCATCTGAAGTGTGCGAGGGTTTGAAACAGTCAAAGTGGGAAGTCTGAGATCTTCTACGAATGTCTCCCAAGATGCCTTTTCACCTCAGACAGTCGCTGCTCTTTAGTGATCCCAATTTAAGACCCACATTTTCCAGTTATATCAATCATAATCCTCGTGACCTGAGACAATTTAAAATAGGATTACACCCTCACCGCCCACGCACACGCCTCCACACACATTCTGTGAAGATGCTGATATGCCATGCGGTGTGACTTGTGTCGGTTTCTCACTTCATGGTCGGTCAGATAAGTAATGTGCCTTTGTTGCTTTAACATGACAGAAGAGATGAGGTGGCTTAATGTCTATAAACACACTGTTTCACGGCAGGGGGCTTCCAAAACAATCAGGCAGTGTGTGTCTGTGGGTGTGTGACTGGGTATGAGAGAGGGCTGTCCATGTGCACAAGTTGTGTAAGCTTATTAGCAACACCACTGGTCAGAGGAGGAGATTGAGGTTAGTCTAAGCCCTAATCCTCGTGGACCTTATGCTTGTTATACAGCAAGCACAACAAAATCCTGGCTCCTCCCCTTTGAGAAAGACACACACACACACACACACACACGCAGGTTTCCTGCCTCCTTGTTTACTGCTCAGCTCCATCGCAACTCTTCCTCTCTTGTCTCTCTCTCTCAGCAGGAGGGCGGAGGAGGGGGAGGAGGAAGAAGAGGAGGAGGAGGTGGTGGTGGTGGTGCGCACTGTTGAGTAGTTTCCCAGTCGTCATGACGACCTCACACCCCACCATCTTCGAAGCTGTCTTCTTGTTGCCACGGTGACCTGATCCTTTTCCATCTCCGCGCCTCTTTATGATCCAGATTGGACTAATAAAGGACAGCGATCCCGGAGCACCGTCTCCTCACTCTGAAAATAGCTCGTGGATGGGACAGCGGATCCCACGCAGGGACGCAGATCGGAGGACAGGAAGGCGCGGTGTGCTGGGAATGCTGTGGGAGTAACACCGGAGCGTTGCCTGGAAACAGCAGCATGCCAGTACAGCAGATAACTGTGGTTCCGACCAGGGAGACAACCAGCAATGGCAAGAGCGCTCCTCGCTCCAAAGACAAGAACGAGGTGAGTTTCTGACCTCAGAACTGTCTTTTAAAGCCTCTGAGATTCCACTAAAGCTGTGTATGTTTGAGGAGTTTTTTTTTTTTTGGTTTGTTTTTTTCTGTCGTTTTGTGGTTTAAAAGTCTCATGAAGTTGGTCAGATTACAGAGATTTAAGATCCCAGAGAAGTTATTTGTGTTGTCAGAAGGTAGAAGTCATTCGATTGGTCCTTGAATGTTGATCCTGATGACAGGAGGTTGCACAAGTGTGTGTGTTTGTACGTGCCTGTGTGTGTGTGTGTGTGTGTAGCAGCCTCTTGTTTCAGCTGACACTCTTTTCAACTCACTCACTGAGCGCCTTAACATGTACAGTAAAGATGTACTCAGCACCCTTTTATCACTGCTCCCTCACATGGGGTTTGATAGTTTCAACTGCATCTTCTATGGAGCTCTGATCCCACGTCACGTCACATCATATCATATCACAAAACATCACACAGTGTCACATGACATCGCACAATATCATAGGATTTTACATCGTGTCACAGTGCGTCAATTTGTGCTGTGTCATGAGTTGGGTTAAATGGCTGAATGGCTGTTGCCAAGTTAGTTTTTGCATATAGTCTCTCAAGCTCACGATCAGATATTTTACGGATCTACTCCTGAAAATAGGAACAGGAACTTGAATAGTGCCTGGTGGGAGTAAGTTTGAAACAGTTTTCTCTCCTCAATATGGTGCAGTGTGTAGTGTTATATGTTATAGAGTCTCAACTGCTTGGTCACAGCATTTTGAAATATCCATCCCTCCATATTCTGCTGCTTCTCCACAGTCAGGAGCTTTAGTGGCAGCAGGCTTGAAATACTTATTATTCTTAAGCCACAAAAACAGCATGAATCACACAACCACCTGAAATGTATTGTCTTTCATTTAACCGTCGCTACATTGTACAGAGTGTCTTTTTCTGCTCAGCCGAACAACATTCTCACTGAGATTGAACGTTTCTTTTTAAACAGGCTAACACAAGTCTCACACTGCAAAAGACTATAAATAACATGCTGTCAAGTGTCCTGGTTCCCTGGTTTGAGTCCCACCTTCCCTTCCTTCTTACCGGATACCTCTCTACTGTGGGCTGTCTACATAAAGGCAAAAAATGGCCCACAGACTTCAGTACATGTTTATTTTTTATGTCATTATTTTGGGCAGTTTTGCCTTTGTTTCACAGTTGCAGTTGAGAACAACAAGGGAATGTGAGGAGAGAAACTACAATAAAGAGACCAAATGAATCAAACAGAACATGTTGTGGCTGCGTGATCCGCATTCAGACCGAAAGACCAAAAGGAAGCCCACTGGTTGCATCCATATCCACAGGAGGGGGACTGTTAGTCTTCCACTGAAGTATGTAATGATGATAATCTGTGTTATGCTTGGTGAGGATGCAGTAATGCAAAGTCTAACATCTAGAAAATATACACGCCTGCTGATGGTTTTATTGATGCTGCCATGTTTCTGTGTTTCTTGCTTCTTCTGCAGTGAAGATTGTGCCTGTGATAAACCTCAATCATTGTATATAATACAAAACGCAGAAGTCCTGAAGGTGGTCAGTGAGGTCTTTGGTTAACTACTTTTCTAATGCAGCTCCTTAAAGTTTAGTGTGTAACAATTCTGCACTAAAATGTCTAAAAATTGCCACACTAATGTTTTTTATACATGTATATGTATATATATATGTTGATGTATGCACTTAGATTATCCAAAATGTTTCCAACAATGCTCAAACTCAGAGAAATGTGTTATTTTGTTAAGTGTAATAAATGAAATGGTGCGTCTCATCTTGGTTGCCTATCAATGATGTCATATCCTCCTTACCCACTGGCATCGCTCAGTCACATGGTCACCCAGCAAATCCACCGCATAACGTGAGCTACAGCAGCTGCATTGATAGTCAACTCATCTAATGGTGCCTTAGCAGGAAGTTACTTGTGGCTGTTTAGTTACAATGAAATGACATCACGTGTTGCTAAACATAACGTGAGTAAAACATGTCGCCTCGTCTGTGAACATGATTTTCATGTCATGTCAGGTAGATTTTTTAGCTGCAAAGAAAAACAACAACGGCTCTCATGATCTTTCGCTACTTCCTAACATTATCAAACTACATCTTTCGGTGTTGCTCTAATTGAGAGCCACCTACTGGCAGAAGTATATGCAGTTTTTGATACTTTAAAAAAAAGTTACGCAGCTGACAGTTGAAGAATTTTACTTTGCTGTTTGAAATGATCCTTTATGGGCATGAAAGCAATACGGAAGAACAATACACCGAATTCGTAAACACACAAAATTACATTACACATTATTATATCAAGCTAATGCATATCTTTTTAAAACAACCAATATGTGATTTCTGCCATCAGTGGTCTCTAAAGCAAAGCATGACTAAAGATGTAGTTTGATGACGTCATAAAGTTGCGCAGAATCGTGGGAGATGTTGACGTGACCACTGTTGCTGTGAAAAATCTATATGACTTGACAGAAATCAGGTTCACAGGCAGTGTAAATTCATTAAAGTTATAGTTATGTTCTGCTCATCAAATCAGGGTAGTTTGTATTAGCACATTTAAAAACAAGCTGAGTTGACCAAAGTTCTGTATAAGACAGATAACTATAAAAATATATGCCAAAAGCAACACATGGTAAATACAAAATAAATTAAGTATAAAAACTTAGAAACAAAAAGGCAAAACAGGTAAGATGAAATTCTAAAATAATATAAAATACTAAAATATTAGTCACGTATATTTGCGTATAGTCATGTTATGTCATTTTATTGTAATGAAACTGCTACAGGTAGTGTTACCTCTCCTAATGTCAGTCACTGTCATGAACATGTGGTGAATGCATTCATAGGGCAGCCATCACTGTTATCTACTGTCAAAACAATCATAATACCAAAATCACAAAAGTGGTAAAGCTCTGGGGCGTTTAGCTAGTTCGCCTCTCTAATATATCATCTGGGAGCAAAGGGGATGAGATGCCTCTGATGGGTGACCAAAGTGAAACAATTGAAATGCACCTTTTTATTTATTACATTGAGTAAAATCTGACATTTTTTTGATGTTTGAACATTGTTGGTAACATTTGGGATAACTTAACCTCACAGGTAAACAAAGTACATAAGACTGGTTTAGCTGTTTTTAGACATTTTAAAGCAGAAATGTTACACATTAAACCTTTAAATCAATCATTATGTTTACTCAGGTCAAGTCAGTCAACGGGCTTAGCATGCTCTATTCTTAGACAGTCAGCTACAGCAGGTTTTGCTCTTCTGGTGGTAGATTTTCATTCTATACAGAGAGGAGCAGAAATCAATGGCTGTCTGCACCTGTTAGTTTTAAAATCTGTTCACAAATCTGCTACAGCTGAATTTCCACAAAACCCTATTTGCAGCTACTGTATTAATCAGAATCTTATCATGACAGAGTAAGTGATGGGGTCTTACATAAACACCATATTATCTGTGAACGTGAGAACAATCGGGACTGAACAATAGAGCTGGAACCAGTTGACATTTGTTGGTTTGTTTGTATGAGTTTCCATGGAGATGCAACTGTCAACAACAACACAACACAACCCTGATGATTCAGATTAGCTGAGTTTATGAGCAATACAATTATATTGATTTATAACTAAGAATATTCTTCTCAGCTTAACAGTGACTGTGGCTTATCAACTATTCCTGGTTACAAAGATTGGATTTCGAGATTTTAAAGTTGAGATTCTGCACAGCACGTTGTGCCCAAATGTAAAGTGTGCAGCTGCAGCTTCATGGTTGGTTGTCTAAATGTGGCTGTAGGTGTTTCTGATTTCGTGCCAGAGTACAGAACCAAAATATATCCCTCGGTCCACGCTTCATCTCTTAATCCCCTCTGCAGAAACATGCACATGTCCAAACACAGACTCACCAGAGTCTCTGCTGTGAGTCAGAGTCAGAGTGTCGACAGAGGAACAGAGGCTCAGGTAAGCAACAGTTAGCGCTGAAAAATCACTTTATTGCTCCTGAACTGTAAGATGGGGCTTAATCAGGCTGCTGCAGGTTGGAGGATGTGTTCGACTGTGCTCTTGTGATGTTTGGATTTGACTTGCTCTGTTCTGGAGTGGCAGACCTTCAGGCTGTTAGTTCAGAATACTTTAGACATTAAATAACAGTTTCTTTGCTTTTGAAGATGTGGATTCAAATACACGGAAAGCCGACAGCTAGACTGAGAAGGAGCGAGACAGAGATGATGTACTGTCTAAGAATTCAGGACTGGATTGCTGTTTGAGATAAGGGCTGATTTAAAAAAAGAATTTCACTTTTATGTCTGTCTGTGTTTATTCTATATCAGCCAAAGAGTTTAAGGAAAAAAAAAAATCTGTGCAGTGCGATACAGATGCTGTGCAGATGCTTCAGACCAGTATAGAAAGTCTGACACAGAGCATGTTGCGTTTCTCACCGACACGTAATCCGAGGTTGTTATTAGGACTTCCACCTGTAGTACATTCTGTCTCTGTGTTGTGTATTAAGCTTGTCCTTCTCATTGTGCTGAGCTCTGGAGTACCAAATGTTATATGGAAGTTTTTCTATATGCAAGTCATCAACTGTGGCTGAGAAATGTATTTGAAAAGGACGTGAAATCTCCTTGTTGCCCACAAGGAATGTCTGTCACATGGCTTCCTGAAAGTATTTCACACATTCACACACTGAGCAAAATATGACAGGACTGCAACTATTGTTTTGCAATGGGACCTGTCTATCCAACATGATATTTCCATGCATGTAGAAGCTAATTTGTCTGACCAGGGATTAACAGAATTGAATATTAGCTCCACTCTCTGTCCAAACGATTTCGGTTAGCCTATGTAATTAGTTATATCTATATTTACCTTGGTTCGTCTCTCTGCAATTTAGCTTCTTTTCTTGCCTCGGATAAGTGTGACGCCTTTATTTGTTTGAGGTCCAGATTGCATAGAAGCCTGCAGGAACAGACTGTGTTGACTTTGTTACCTAGGGAAGGTACTGAATAGCAGTGCATGGATAGGAAGTTGATAGAAAATTAGTTATCAAGAGATGAGTAAGAAGAAGGATATCAGGTAAATCAGTGGGTTGGTCCCACATGAGTTGAGCATAGCTTAGCACAAAGGCCGGGAAGAAACAGCTGTCAGGTGTCATATTAACATGTTGTTTCAGGAGCCTTCATGTACAAGCTGGCAGTGCTTCACATTTTCTTATAGCTGAACAAAATACAGATAATGTATTCTATTTAACAAGGACCACTTTCCTTATGCTCTCAGTCATCTGTATTTGCAAGGTTAAAAACTCTCTCCAGAAGGAAATAAATAGCAATCCTCTCGTCTATTTCTACTTCTAAAAATAAACAGCCATCAGTTCACGTGACATAAAATTGGAGTGTATAATGATGTGCTGGAAAAGCTACGAAAAGTTATTTGTTTTTCAATTTATATTTCTTAACCATAGTAACGTGTGAGGAATTATATTATATTAAAATAGTCTTTGACAGTCTCCACTCAGGTTTTTGACATCTAGAGCTTTACATAAGCCCACAAATGCCACTCAACTGAAAGAGCTACAAGCAGATGTGTCATCTCAGGAATCCATTTATTACACCGGACGACGTATGTAGACATTTCGAACAGTGACGTTTGATTTAACGGCAGATTAGCTGCTGTCCTTTAACAGCCAGGAGGTTGCTGTGAGAAGCGTTTGCTTCGACTCCAAGCAGGACGACTGATTTAAACGTGGCTATAAGAAAATCCCTTGATCAGCTTAAACGATGCAGTCTTCTACTTGTCAGTGTATCTCTTATTTATTTCAATGATTTGCACCGAGTGTACCCACAGCCGTGTCTGTGTGTGGGCTGATACACGCAAGCTCTGTTTTTCCTTTTATATGTCAACAGTAAAAAAAAAAAATAGAAAAGCCACCCACATGAGAAGCCAACTTTGAACTCCGTAAATATCCTATAAGATACATAAAGCTTATAAGTGTCCACATTAATACTGTTAGGTATTATCTCGTTATTATACTATACATGTTATGTACAAATACAGATTTGAGTGGCAGGATTTATCAACTGTACTTCCACTACACATGGACCAGAATATTTGTATCCATTTGAAATCATTATTTTTGTATCAAGGCCTCAAAGCTGTGGATGATTTTAAATAATATCACTGGAAACAAATCCCATCAAAATATCACAGCCAACGATAGGTGCTTTTTCACCAAAAGCTGTGAATTGTGTTTCCACAGCAGGACCAAAGATCAGGAAAATCAGCCAAATCAATCTCCTGATGTATCAGAAGCACAATGGTTTAAAATTCACTTTGAATACTGTCCTGGACAAAAAAAGCTTGGACCTCTTCACTGGTATCATCTCTTGGTGTGCTCCATCCTCATTATTGTTTGCTGTTTAAATAAACTGTTAAAATTCTGGCATTCTTGTAAAAAAAAAAGATCAGCAACATTCAGCTCTGCAAGTCCCTTATTGAACTTTTCCAAGCTGGTGGAAAGTACTTTCCCCCAGACAGGGACTTTTTAGCGGGTAGGACCAAATTCAGAACTTGGTTCCTTTGGTGGAAACACTGGTGAATAAGTTAGAACAGTTCAGTCATGGAAACTATCACCTGCTTTATCCCTTGCACTTTATTTGATGCTTCAATTTATTTAGGAGAATTCTATTTTTAAGAAGAAAAGAAATGATGTCCACTTTACATAAACTATGTGAACCAAACTCCAGCAGCAATCCTACACTCAGTCTGCATCCAGCCATTTCAGGGTTTACAACAAAAACGTTTAACTCAAAGCTGAGTTATATTTGGGTGATTTAATGGTGCAATATTTTCCAATTACTGTTTTATGGCATAGTCACTTCTTTAGAAATATGCTGGCGCATTAGACCACTGGATTTAACAAGAAACTGATCCACATGGCTTTATTGGAAAACTATGTTTTTATGTTTTTGCTTCCAAATCACAAAGATGACAACTTTTTAAAATAGGACCTGCTGAATTATCCCAAAACGATATTATAATCTAACATATGCAGTGATTTAAATCACAACTACACAAGCTGTGCAACAAAGTTTTCAGTTTCACACAGCCGTGGTTTGAAAGTGTGTTGGCGTGGGAGAGGCGAATCGGCATATGATTTAGATACTATGGAAGATGTTCGTTTTGTTTTCATGGTAGCTTATCAGTACTACAGCTTGGTAACTCCTACACAGAACTGTCTGCTGGTAAGTGAATCTTGCGTAAGATGCTCCAGGTGAGGAATCAGGTGAGGAATCAGGCCACAAATGTCTGTTGGTTCAGTTCAAGGTCTCCCAGTGGAGATCAGACTATCAGCGCTCTTGGAAAAGCTCTCGAAAAAGTGCCTTAAGTTGACTTTAAATAGAGACACATTGCAGAGCAGCATCTTGTGCACTTAGCAGGACAACCAGGTAATAGGATTGGCTGGCTTTAGCTCAGGTCACAATGAAAGAGCAAGGACGTGTGGCTGCGCATGACTTCTGACTTTAAACAGTAAACGCAGCGGGACCAGTCTGCACTGGGTGCTATAGAGTCAGCTGGTGGTAAGAGCTGCTGAGTTTCATTCTAACATTATGGTTTTTATTTCAGAGTTAAAGCATTAACTCATCTAATTTGTAATTTCTCACATTTCACTTCTTGTCAGAAGCTTTCGTATGAGAACGTACATTTAGTTTAAAAAGTTGAGTGTTGTTGCACAATTTCTGATGTGGAAAACTGAGAAAAACTGAGAAATTAATAGATTGAAAGAAAAACCAAGAATTAAAAAAACTGGTGTAACTAAAAAAATGTTTGTTTCTCAAAAATATTAATAATATCAATGACAATAACTTTCTTTGTTCAGCACTTTTCAAAAACAAAGTTACAAAATGCTTTTCAAGGAAAATGTTTGAAATTCGGTCAATTATGAAAATAAATTCAAAGAAATAAACAAGATCAAGCATGAAATGTGACAAGATACAAGATAGATACAAGATAGATAGTGAAGTCCAGTGATTACTTTATAAAAAGAACAAAAAACATATAAATAACATTCAAGACAACAGCCATTGTGTCAGAGTGCCCTCCAGTAACAAGGATTATGATTTGTAGTAAGTACCTAAGAAGCATAAATATTGGGGTCAAGACCCTATTGTGTTATTTTTGGTGAGTCTTTTACATAATGGGGATTAAAAATGATAGAAAATACCACTTTATCTCACTATAATACACTTTAAGACTGCAACCTGACAGTGTTTTTAGTTATGGAGAGTAACCTAACTAATGTAATAATAAACCCTATGGTGTTGTAAATTAGCGAACTTAGCCTAACTAATGCAAATATTATGGCCAGGACCCCACAGCTCTATTTAACAATGAACATTTGCTGCTTTTCTGTGCTCGACATGATTTTCACCTGAAGACATCACCTTCTTATGCTTTCCAAATTTGCTGTGGTCATCATTTCATTGATCGTTGCAGCTCTGCAGAAAATCACACGGAAACATTATGATACGAACGAGCCCCTTTGCTGCAATTGAGTCCAGCAAAATATTGTTTTAATATTATTTTACCATTATGCCTGTTGTTGTGTGGCAGATAGAGCATTGCATCCTTCTTGGTGTTCTTGGACTCTAATGATTTTCTGTCTCTTCTTCTCCCCGCAGGGGAGGAAGGCACCTGGGCGCTCAGGGAGTCGATCCAGCAACATCTCCAAGGTAACAGCTGAATATCACAGCTAAAAGGGCCAAAATCAAGGTCACAGTTCATAGTGTTTGGGAGCATTGTTTATCCAAGCAGAATCTGATGTGCAAGAATGTGGTGAGGCTGTCTCCCACATACACAAGTGTTAGTAAGACACTTAAGGTTGGTCAATACACTGTTACTTGACTCACTAGGAGCTAAATTATGATTCAAGCTCTACTTAACTGTTAATCAAAGGGGTTTTTGTAAAAATTCATTTATAGTAACAAACCTACAGAAAATCATGACTTGGATCTCAACACGTCATTTGCATTTATTAGCATTAATTAGCTGATTGTTTTGGATTTACAACCAGCAAATAAACTGAGTCACACCAGTCTCAGGTCAGAGTTTAGCAGCAGTGGGCAGCTGTTTTAACTGAGAAAGACTCAGTGATAACATCAGTGTCAGCAGCTTCAGACTCAGGATATTCTCAGAGAGTGGTGGAGACCAAGTCAGAGGTGAAAGGAAACTACAGAATACTGAGTGTGTATTTGTCAAGTGGCCAGAAACGCAATTTAAAATATAAGCTAATGTTCCTCCATGGCTGGTAGATGTTGAATTTTTTAAAAATGAATAACAAAGAAGTGAAGACACAGCCTGCAGTTTACAATGTTATTTAGATGTATCAGGTACCAGTAAAATACTTACAGGCTCCTGAACGTAGGTGCAACTGAAGAAAACTATGTATAGACTGGTTAAAATAAGTTATATAATGTGTATTTCTGTAAATACTGGGTACCTATGGGCCACGGTGCTGGGAGACAAAACAAAAACCATTACAAGAACCCTCTTCTTACTGTGTAATGAACAAGTGAAAATGGAAGAACAGGCACACATCATGTTACAGCTTGTGTTTCTGGTTGTTATAACCACTGAACTTTTACTTATTAATAAACATTACTCCAGTGTGTGGGAGAAAATAGAATATAAAAGAGAAGTGCCCAAATTTTATGACTGTGCCACCAGGCAGCAACTTAGGAACTCATTAACATGCCTGCTACTTCAGTGTAGAAGGACGAGGCGAGACACGGGTCTATGTTTTTGAACATTTGCTCCTAACAGGCATTTTTGTCCACCAACTCAACATAAGTACGATGGAGTGGAAAACAAATGTAACATTCTGTAGTGCACTGTTAGAGAAGTCGTCTGTTGTCATCCAAGGAGAAAAAAATGATGACATAACAAAGTCATGTAATAATACAACATATAGATGGAACTTAGCTAATAGTTAAAGTTCAATGAGGAACATGGAAATTCATATTTTAATGTTTTAATGACGCTGTAAGAATAGGGTTTTTACGACAATCGTGCCCTGGGCACACCATCTGTAAATCTTCAGTTACACAGTAAAAAGTTACAGTTTTGTTTCCCAGTACTGTACCCATTTGATACTCAAAAATACTTGGGGCACAATTTATTCCTCTGTTCCTTTATTTTTTTCCCCCCACTGTAACTAGATTTAATACCAGTAGGGACTGTATAACTGTATACAGGCTGTGTAAGTAAATGTGTTTATGCTTATGATCTATGGTAAATACCACTTCATATTTTGCAGTCATTACAAATTCTGTATACGTGTTGTTATGCTTTGGTACATTGGTGGTATTTGACTTAAGTTGCTGACAGATTGTTGTACTTGCAAAGCAACTTAAAAGCTAAATAGAGGATGTTGACTGTTGCAGGCCAGCAACTCTACAGCAGGACCTGCTACAGCCTCCAGGACATCGATAACCCCGTCTTCTCAGGACATATGCAGGTAAGACAGCTGCCTTTTCAAGTGATACCAAGATCCTGATGTTCCACAACTCTCTGCAAACATCTACACGAGCGTCTCTCCTAAAGCCAGGAGCAGCCACAGCTCTCTCTGTGATATTAACATGCACAGTTTAAAGTCTGTTCTCCGCTGAGTGGGAGACTGAATTAGTATGGTCTGCCGCAGCCCGAGGGCATAACAAACTTAAAATGGAAGCTGAAATCCAATGGTCCTCCCACAGCGCAATCAATGAGAGGAAGATGACTGATTGCAGAAACAGGATCCCTCAGTTTATTATTCCCACTGGGGGTGTGGTCGTTATGCTGACGGCCTCGCTCCTATGGCCTCATGGCAGAAAATAGGCGTTGTCCGACAAAGGTGATGCGTGAGTGCTTGGACCTCCATTTGTCCTGAACATACTCAGTTCATTCCATATTCACTTGCCTGTTTGATTATTTACCTTAATTTTGTTTTATGTCACACATTTTTTGCTTTGAAGAAACGTCTTCCCAATCAGGCAGGGTTAACAAACAGTGTTTGTCCCACAACCAGCACTTTAGACGACTCGGAAGCTACATCAGCAACTGCTATGAGTGCATTACTTAATGTTTTTTAAGCTATTTAAAACAAAAAAAATACAATGCCTGAATAGAATTGTAATAGGAAACAGTGTTCGATGATCACAACCTTTTCCACCTGTAAGACAAAGTATAAGTTGAAGTGTAAAATGTACCTAAATCCCAGTAGAAAAACAAAAAAAACACAAATTATTATGTAAATTATTATGTCTTATATTGAAACTGTGCTGCTAAAGGTTCATGTTTTATTTGCGGAGAATTAAAAATATTTGTAGCTTCACTCAGTAATACAGCAGCGGTGTTTCTGTTGATTGACAGGGCCGCTTGGGATCATGCTATTAAGTTTTAAAGGTAACTTTAAAAATTCTGTTCACCTCCATTGCTTTGGGGTAGAGGCAGAAATCTAAGAGATAGACAGCTAAAACCTGAGAAAAGATATATTTTTTAAACTATCTGCTGAGCTACATACTATGAGTTAGTTCAGTCTTTTTAGTAATTTAAATGAACTGGTCCTTTAATGAGGTTTCAGCCCATTTGTTTAGTTAATGTCACATTCATGTCTTTTCCATCTCGTTTCAACTTGTTTTCCTCATCTCCATCTGTGTGTGTGTGTCCATGTGTGTGTGTGTCTTTGTGTGCGTTTAGTTCTAGCCAGCTGACCCGTTTAGAGGAGGATGCCTCTGAGTCACACAAACACAGCAAGCACGCACACGTCTCCTCTGCAATGACAGTCACCAGCACAAATCTGGGCTCGACGGCTCAGGCCCAGAAGAAGAACGTGAAGCGCCGCCACCGCCGCAAGAGGAGCAGCTGCACCACCTTCGACTGCGTGGAAACCAACGCCAAACAGGAGCAGAGCGACCGCAGCCTCAGCTCCGACCGCAGCGAGGTCGGGGAGAAGAAGGAGCGCTCCTTGAAGAACCGGAGGGAGCGCCCGTCTCGCCTCCGCTGCTCAGGTGCGCCGCAGTCCGACTCCTCCTCTGAGGACGAAGCGTGGCGTGAGGCCCGCAGCTGGAGCAAAGAGAAAGCCCGGAGAGCACGCCGCCGCAGCGGGAGCAGCCGGGAGAGGGACATAACGAACGGGCGTAAAGACAAAGACGAGATCATGGAGCTGCAGTCGGTGGGCTCAGACGAAGGGAAGGAGAACCAGCCTCTGGTGGAGGACAGCGGAGGCCTTAAGAAGCGCCACAACCACAGGAACTCATCGAAGAGAGACGGCCACATTTCACAGAGGGAGAGATCCCGCAGCAGGGATAAGGAGAAGAAGAGCTACAAGTCACGGAGCCCAAGAGGCAGCTCCTCGTTGGCAGAGGACGGCGAGGAGCTCATCACTAAGAAGTACCAGGAAAAAGGGTCAGGAGGTGGGGACATGTCAGTGCCCACGCCACAGAAACACTGCGGTGCGAACGGGAACACACCACGGCCCTACTCTGATGACTCTGAGCTGGAGGTCTGCAGGTTAGTTTGTACGCCTACACGGCCGCAATCATGCGTCAACAAGTTTATCATCCCAAAAAAAGTCAGAGACAGAGAAACAGAGAAGATACAAACAAGACAGACAATATTTAAAACAGCACAGAGCCTCCACATTAATTTTCTTCCTGATGTTTCTGGATCTTTGTGTGTTTGTGTGTAGGATCTGCCACTGTGAGGGGGATGACGAGTGCCCATTGATAATGCCTTGTCGCTGCACTGGGAGCCTAAGCTTCGTGCATCAGGCCTGTCTCAACCAGTGGATCAAGTCCTCAGACACTCGCTGCTGTGAACTCTGCAAATTTGACTTCATCATGGAGACGAAACTCAAACCTTTGCGCAAGGTATGCACGTGGTCGTCATCTATTTTTACCTCACTGACAGCTCTAAACAGTAGGACAGGTTTGTCAGCGTGCAATTATGAATGACATGTCCTCCCCCCTGTGTCTCCATCCCTCTGTCTTCTAGTGGGAGAAGCTACAGATGTCGAAGAGTGAGAGGAGAAAGATCTTCTGTTCAGTGTTGTTTCACCTGATAGCAATAATGTGTATGTTGTGGTCAGTCTACATTCTGGTCAAGAGAACTGCTGAAGAGATCAGACTTGGGAAGAACGGTCAGTACTTTCCCCTCTCCCCCCCCACTCACATAGCAGAGACATGCAGCGTGAAGTGAAACAACAGAATGACTTCATAGCAATGTAGTGGTACCCTGTGGCGGTTTGTTCACATTCTCACTTAAACATGCTGTCAAACACGTGTCTTGGCATATTTCACTAACATTATTGTGAACAGCAGTGGTATTTCTTTGTATCATCTCCTCTGTGGTGAACACGAACCCTGCCGCGGCCACATGCAGCACAGGTTTTCATTCATAGTTGAGCGTCACATTTCCGTCTGTTGCTCGGCAATGCCAGATGCACGTATTGTTTGAGATCAGACGGCATCGTCTTTTATATTCTCCGCAGCAACCCCGTTGAAATTCTTTCATTTGCTTTCGAGATACGGAGTGACACTGAGCAACACACAAGATTAATAGCATTGGAGTGTCTCTTAAAGTGTCTCCCTACTGAACAAGAGAACCGGTGTGCAGCTGTTGCGTCCATGTTCACTCATTCAGGCAGACTGCCTGGAGCAGAGGGCTTCCAGTGTCATAGCTTTGTTGAATGTTTTTTACTAAAAAGGAGCTACTGCTGAGAATCTTCCTTGAAGGTTTATTGTGTAGGATTAGGGGGATCTAGTATTAGAAATATAATACAGTGCTCATAGTTATGTTTTCATTAGTGTATGATCAGCTGAAGATGAGACTCATTGTGTTTTTGTTACTTTACAATGTGCCCTACATATGTTTACAGAGGGAGCGTGTCCTCACCCCACATGTTGCCCAAAACAGACGAACCAAGCACCAGCTTTAGAGAGGAACGTTTGTGTTTTTAGCTCCTTGGAAGAGGAAGACTGAGGCAAATGGGTGTTAAACTGGCTGCAATCTGCAACCTGCACACCTCACCTTTAACTTACTTAAAGTTCTCTTGAAACTGCCACCACAAACATGTCAAAGTGTCGACCAAGCGGTAATGAAGCTGTCAACCACGCGGTAGAGCCATTGACGCTGTATTCCTGCAACACAAATACGTTTTTTAGGAGGTCGGCTGCTAATCTAATGTAAGGATCTTACACCTGCTGTTACACACAAATGCAAATGTCCAAAACGTTTGTAAACCTTTGCAATGATTGCACTCAGTGTCTTATAGCTGCTGTATTTGTAGAAGGAAGTTAAACCGATGCATTTTTTAAAAAAAAGAAATGTTAATTGGCATCAAACCATGTACATGCAGGTAGAACATGTGATACAGACGTTACAGATAATCACTCACAGCTTCACTGTAGCGCCCCACAGTGGTCAACACTCTCCAAGATACCTGTCACATTTTCACCTGTTGATCTTTACACCTGTCTGTCTCTGCTTATGTGACTTTTAAGATGAATTTCATTTGTAGTCACTTGTTGTTTTGGTCATCCTTCAGTGTCCCTCTGCACACTAGACATCCAGATATCGATTTTAGACATCTTCAGTCAATCTGTACTTTTACAGTTACCATTTTAATTTTGCTTCTTTTTGTACACTGATGCACTGGAAGACTTGAATTACACCACATTAAGCTTCAAAATAATGTTACTGCTACGTCAGTGGCTTCAACAAAGAACAATTATTTTCGTAGCGACCTATCACAGCATGTTTTAGCTCATTAACTACAAATCATGTCAACCTTCCTTCCATTTCTACAGACCAGGCTATTCACAATTTGTCACTTTTGGTATCGCTGCAGAAGTGTGGTTAGATTTAAACATGTGACATATCTGTGGAAATTCCAGGAGTCAAGATCAGAAAGAACGTTTAGATCACAAACAGAGGGCGCAGTGCTTTGTCGAGAAGTGAAACTCAGAAATCTAACTGTAAACAAACGCGAGCAGGTTTCAGTAGTTAGAGTTCACCACAAGGTTCTCACCCCGTCTGATGAGTTTCAGTCTTTTGGGAAATTAAAACCGTTTTTAGTAGATTTGAAGATGATGTGATTTTCATTGTTGGGCTAAAGCATGAAACTTTTCCTGAGAGCAGGAGTTCGGACTGACACACATTTTAGCTTTGCTTTGTTGTTAAAGTGAAAATAGACCCCTCAGTGTTAATGTACATTCATGGTTGCGTTCAGTGATGGTGTGTGTGTGTTGTGTTGTGGTCATAACGTAGGACGTCAGATTAGAAGCATAAAACATAGATGCAGTATGTGGAAAAACAACATTTCATATACTGTATATTATTACATTTGAATACACTAGAAGATGAATAATAGCATAGATCTTCAGAGATCGTAGAAATAAAGAGAAATTACACTCACTCTTGATTGCAGACGATTTATGGAGAGTTTCTCTTCTGAAGTACTATTCGCCGCAGGGTAAGCGCAACTCTGCACACACCACCATCATGATCCCTCACACGTCCTGCAGGTTGACTGACAGCAGCTGTGTGTGTGTGTGTGTGTGTGTTACCTCAGGTGTGCTGGAGTGGCCCTTCTGGACCAAGCTGATTGTGGTGGCCATAGGCTTCACAGGCGGCCTCATCTTCATGTACATCCAGTGTAAAGTCTACATGCAGCTGTGGCGCCGCCTCAAGGCCTTCAACCGCATCATCACTGTGCAGAACTGCCCCGAGAAAGACCTGCACAACCCTCAGGCCCGGCCCAGCGCCCTCACCAACGGCAGGCACGACACGGTGGAGGTCCCGGTGAGTCCGGGCCCCGTCCCAGCTCCGGAGGCGCAGATGGACTCAGACATGTCAGTGGAGGCTGCAGTGGCGCCGGCACACAACCCCGTCTGACTGATTCTCCTCCCCGCTGTGAACAGAGTGCTGAATCACGCTCTGCTCATCCAACAACACAAGCTGGTGTGAGCACGGTGTGATTTAGACTCGTGCGGTGTTTTAATGTTGTTCTCATCTCGGTGACGGCTGATCTTGAGACGCAACAAACGGATTTAAAGCGACAGAACTGAACAAGTCCTTCGGTGATCCAGGAAAAGCTGAAGGCAGAAGGGAGGCAGTGATGTGAAGGTGCGAACAAAGAAAGAATGTGGCAGAACGTGGAGAGAAGAGTTAAAGGAATCAGACAATAAAGCCATCAGCAAAGAGAGCATGTCAAGACTTTAGTTATGTGGTATACTGACACCATCTTATTTCTGTATGCACTTTCTCAACCCTGCACTGATGTGAGGTAAAGTTGTGAACACCCTGTGGATGCTATTAATTAAAGGTCTCAGTATGCTTCAAATAAACCTTGGACAACAGAATGGTTATAGTTGCTGTGAATGGCCCTAATGAGGCCTGCTGTGACAGAGAAGCGAGGCTTGAAGAGCTGTGATAACCACACACTTTATTTAGTTGTCTACGATAGCAACAATAGCAGTAGGAGATGTGGGGAATTAGCAACAAAGGTTCTGTTAGGGCGTAAAGCGAATCCCCTCGGATCAAACATTCTGGATATTTATGAGCTTCACGTATTCAGTGGAGTCGGTCAGATTTCAGCAGTTTGTTAAAATCTGCTGTTGTGTTGCGTTCTTTGTTTTTTCCATTATGAAATAAGGACCAATTAAACTACTTCACTTTACGGTTAACTTAGCTGTTGCACTCCACCCCTCTCTTATTTTCGTGTTCAAGTGTGTTTTCTAAGAAGCAAGATATTGTTTGTTGAAAGGTTAAAGAGGATACACTTGAAACTAAAGATGCAGACATCTGGAAGTGCATCTTGTGCTGTGCTGTAATGGATGCACAGTCACTACTGAAAAGCATTTATGTGGCTGCACTTTATTTTTAAAAAATGCATTTATTAACCTTTATTTAACCAGGAAAAGTCTCAGTGGGATTACCAAACTGCTTTACAAGAGCATCCCGATCGAGACAGGACAAGAAAAGTGAAAAATGGGAGAATTTTTCACACCTTTGCACACTGAACCAATTGCTACACAAAGTAGCCCAAATTTCAGATGCTGCTGCTAAGACGATCTGACAAGCACTTTGATTGAAGCATACTGAGGCCTTAACTCTCCTTCTGGACAATCAGGTCTTCAGACACCAAAGAGTCAGATGTTATTATTAGAGAAAAAATTATTTGAACTAAAAAAATATTTAGCTGAGTCTGAAATCTAACAATGTGATATTTTGAAAAAGTTATTTATTATCATCAGAGAGTTTAGGATATTTGTTCAAATAGAAACTCTCAAGTAGCCCCGGTGTTAATGATGTTTTGTTCTGACAGTTTGCAGCTTTATGTGGTCCTGCTCTGGAGGTCCGTTATTCAAACAGTGATGTAACTAGAGCTTTCGGTGTTGCCATCCCTTCATGTTTTTACATTACATCATAAAAGCGTTTCAATTTGAACTGGCACACTGTGTCAATCTGCTAAAGGCGACTGTTGTTTACACTTGTCCACTTTTATACTGGTTTAATTTGGGTTTTTTTTTTTACCAGTGTCCCCGGCACATCACGGAAAATACAGCTTCCTCTGTGTCTTAAATCCACCGCAACATCTTTGTCCAAAACCTTTTTTCTATCTGATTGGATACAACGGAGCATTCAGGTTACATACAACACATATTTGTTTGTGCAATAAACCATGAATGTAGAACCCCTCTGAAGGCTGCTGTGATGTTACTAAGCAACAAAATGTAAAAAGGAGGTGAGTTTGAGAACATTTTACTTTTCCATCGGAGGGTTTAGCGCCATCTTGTGGACAGAAGTGGAGTAGCAGCATCTTCTCACACAAACATTCCTTTCTCTATGGAAGTCTTTGTTTAAGGTCAGTCTCACATCCAGATCCACACAAAAAGTCTCAGTGGGAGTCTGACATCAGCACCATCTCATCCACCTGCTCATCATCCACATCGTCGTCATCCTCATCGTCCTCGAGATCGTCTTCTGCCTCGTGTTTCTCTTCTTCCTCATTCTTCGTGTCCAGACCTTTGTTAGACACCTTCCGCAGTTTAATATTTGGGAGTTTCTTCAAATCTCCAGTCCACTCTCTGCCAAAGTACAAAGACATCTTCACATTTTTTTCCCTTTCAAAATAAAACGATTCACACTAGAATATCAGCATTGTGTGGCTTTTTAAAAATCTGAATTTTAATAGAAAAAAAAAAGAAAGAAGACAGACATTTGTAAAAAGATGCACGATATGCAGGCAGTAAAATGATGCAGTAATTCACAGGTTGAGTATCACCCGCAGTTATAATAATATCTTCTCATATCTGTGAAGCTCATCCACTCACCTGAATGTTTTCAGATGCTTTGCGTTCAGGATGTCTGGGATCTCTGAAGGAAACACAGCAGAGCATCAGGAGGAATATTCCAACACTAAATGTGTGTACGCACAACACACATGTGTCCATGTTTCTAGGAGGAGGACTCACCGAATCCGACGCCCTCGTACTGCACCCGCTCTCGCTCAATGGTCTGTTTGATGACGGCCTCTCTGGCGCCGTGGAGACGACCCTGCCGACCTTTGATCCCATTCACGAGCTCAATCTGCTCAAGTTCTGAATCAAATCTGTGGAGGTACCTGAACACACAAAAAAAAAACACATCAGGCCACAAAACAATCGGACACCACGTGCTACCACATTTAGAAGGTACGGTGAATATAGTGATATATATACATGTACTTTATACAAATAAAAAAAAAAACTGGACACAACAAAATGAATTCATATAATAATCATAAAAAATCCACTCCACATGTTGCATAATTGTGAATATTGTTCTGTCTTTCAAACGTTAAATCAGGGCTGCATGATACTGAAAGAACAGCAAATATTTTGGTTTTCTGCAATAGAAAACAAAATAGAGAAATTATCCCTAAATATACTGAACAAGTATTTGGAAAAATTCATCAGAATGATTGAGGTCTGAAAAGATCTGAAAAGAAAATAAACAAATTTAAAACAGTTAAAAAGAAGGAAAAAAGCAGTTTGAAACCTTCCTCACACAATGTAACGTTGGAAAAGGCATCCACGTTCATTTTTGCTTTGAATAGCATTCAGATCTGAATTCACACACACGATAAAGATTTAAATGGTCAAACAAATTGGTCACATTGTCATGTGATGGAAAACAGAGAGAACCCTTTTTTTTGTCATGGTCATCATATCTGTAGCTGAAATATTTCCATACAACTGATGTGTTTCTTTTGGGAAGCAAACTGTCCTTTTCAGTGTTTCTCTCCCATTTCTCGCTATTTTTCGCTGCTCACAAGTGGAGCATGTCAACAAACTCTTAACCCTTAAATCTGATCAAATCGCATGTTTTATCAAACAGACTGTTGTTTGTAGATTAGTCACTGAAAATGAGAACCATGTGAGTTTTCTTTTAGCGTCAAGCAGCAAAGTTTTAGCAAAAAACGACTGAATGAATTTGCCTTATTTTACATCACACTGCAATGTAACTATTGTTCATGTGCACATAACAATGTCAATGTAGAAACAATATATTATGCAGCCCTACTTAAAATATTAGGTGGTAAAAAGAAACTTCACCTTTCAATAATGTCACAGGCATCTTTTCTTGTGTAAGTCGTCTTCGTTGGATCCAACTGACCCTGAAACCACAGCAGCCTCTCACCTGTGATCAGAGAGCCAGGAACAACAAGAGAAAGTATATTTAACGGCAATTTGATAATAATATAAAATATATGAATATGAATGATAAGCAGGCTTACCGGTGTTGTTCAACCGCGTTGCTTTCTCAGTCTTCTGCCTGCAGCAGCAGAGAAACCAGTTGAAGGAAAGTAAACCAAACATTCAAAAGTCTACCTAAGTCTTCCTATTTGTATAGCACTTTTTAAGAACACAATTCGCAAAGTGCTTTTACATAAAGAAAAAACAACATGTATAAAAAGAACAGGCAAACGCTCAAAATAAAAATATAAAATACACACAATAGAAAAATGGAAAAGAACCGACTGGGTCACTCTTGAAAGGTGTACGTATAAAACTGATTAGAAAGACTGATTAAAAAGACGACATCACAGGAGAATGAAGATAAAAGCTGAAGCTGAAAGTAAGATAAAAGTAGATTAAGAAAGATAATAGGGAGAAGGACGGCAGGAAGTACTCATAAAAAAAAGGGGAAAAGAAACGGGAGAAAATCTAAAACAGAAATAAAAGAGAACATCACTCAAAAGCAAGTCTATGAAACACTAATACCACAGTGCGCCGTCTTAGGAAAGCAGACATCGTATTTCTATATACTTCCATTTTAAGTAGATTTGTTTAAGGCTGTATCTGTTTAATTGTGTTTTACTTCTCATCCACACCTGTCCTTCTTCTTCAGTCTGATCTCTTCTCGGGCCAGATACGCAGCCTTCCTGCTGTACGGATGAACCACTTTCTCCGCAGCTTTTCCTTTCTGAGTCTTCGGCTACAAAACAAACAAACAAACAAAAAAACCCACAAAACAAGCAGCAGGACTTTAAATCATGCAGGTCATGAATGTAATCATGTTTACATAAACATTAACACACAACACAGCAGCCTTACCATCTTGACTGACTGAAAACACGCGTGGGTCTCCTCTGTTGACAACCGGACAGGAAGTCGAAGAGGTCCGTCATCGAATTATGTCCGACAGTGTTGCGGAGAAAATAAAGAGGTTCCTTTTTCTAACTAGAAGTGAAATGGATTTAAAAAAACGACAACAAAAATACTTTAAACTAAGACACGCTGGTAATTACAGCTTGGTTTTTTAGAGGCAAAAAAAAGAGAAGAAGAAGAAATTTAGAGTTATAGGAAGGAAGGGAGTTTGAGGCACACTGATGTAAAATTGTAAAACTATCACCTCTGCATTCTTTAAATTAGTATAGACATAACCAAACTTGTTTTAAACTAAACAATAAAATGTCTATATACCAAAATATATAACAAAAATGACTGTATAATTATAATACTTTTTTGTAATATGTGGAAGTGTAAAAGTAAGATTTTATTGCAGGAAGATGCTTTGTCTGATGTCGCAAGACCAATAATAAATAAATAAATAAATAAATGTAAACATAAAGACAATATTAGGAATAAGTAGCAAATTTATATTAATCAAAGTGACTATTGAGGTAAAATTTAACCTCAGGCCGTGGTGGTAGACGCCCCCCTTTTTATTTTTACATTAAATATTTAGTTTTATTACAAAGTTGTAATGTGTCCTGATGTAATTACCCTCAAAAATGGTTCATCTATCTTGTGTTCTGATTATGTTGATATTCGAATTATTTAAATTTGATAAGACCATACCCCACTTTACTAAGCATTAAATATTTTGAGACAATTCAAAAACAGTGAGCAAATGATAAAAAATGAGGTACACACTTTTGTCAAAATGCGACGTCACACAACAACTTTTTTTTAAAGACCTTTTTTTAAATAAAAAAAACAACAACAAAGCGTCCTTTTGAATTACTTACGACTTCAGATTGTTTCTTTGTGAAAACAGAGCAGATTATGCAATGATTTATTTAGTGAAAATAAACAGAGGGCAGTTTTAATGTATGCATTTTAAACTACTGCTGTGTTTGTATGTGGTTTTATTTAAGCTGAACAAATACACAATATCACTTCATTTTTAACACTGATTACAAAGTGTTGTACAAACTCCATATGATCTATGATTAGATATTCAGTGAGTTAAAGGTGAAACAGACAAATGAGATGAAAACAGAACACAGTTTACTGAAAGATGATCATGTCCACGGGTGCAGTGAGACGACAATACTCATCAGTCCAGTTGAAGCTGCCTCAACGGGGCCAGTTGAGACCAGTCAGGCTCCTCCTGCACCGCAGGCTTTGCTTGGTTTATGTGTTACAAAGCTCAGATATGGGGCAGAGAACAGGCCTCTGAGCGTCTGCCATGCCAGCATTTTAAAAGCAGCTAAAGTGTCTCTAAAGCCTCAATGCGTCCATGGAGACAGATTTTTGTTCTTTTATTAGATTGTGAACAGCGATGCATCAATGCGTAGACAGCAGTTTAACGCTGTAGCTGCTTGAGGTAGAGCTCGTTTTTACTGCTTCACTTTACAGTTAAGTCGAGTGTTTCCAAGCTTCGACAAGTTAAATCTGGTCATGAGATGATTAATGGGAGAAGAAAGAAGGAACAAAGTTCTGCTCCACAAATTCTCTTTTTGCGATGTTCTCTAATTGACCATTTGGAGGCAAAATCTGTTCTATAACTCACAGTCCAAATGTGTCACATCATTAAAGCTATGCGAGACATTTGGATGACATTTTGAAATATCCTTTTAGTGGAACTGCTCACAGACATCTGAAACATGATGTGTGGCACCAACCAGCACATAAATTTAACTTCTGTCTTTTCTAAAAGGTTGTCGTGTTTAGTTAATGTAAACTATAAAAAAAAAAATACTGTGAAATCAATGTATTGGAAAAGGATTACAAGGTAGCACACAATGGAAAAACCAAAATAAAGTACAAATAAATATCCCAAAAAATAGGTACAAGAACACATCAAGCTCATTGTATGACATCAAATGTACCTCTTCTGAAGAGTTTCACAGAGAGACTCAGATCGTATGACTTTGGTAGATGAATGAAATCTTTTGAGGTAGAGTGAACGGTTGCAGATATAAACTTTATAAACCGGCTCCTCCCCTCCCACGTGAGTTTTATCAAACAGCCGACTCTTTAGAAAGATGCAATTTAGTTTGGGCTTTCCCAGTACAAAGAGTTTTAAGTCTGTTCCTATTAATGTTATTATGTCAGTCTGATGTCACAAAATGCGATCATGCTCTTAACATTTACATTTTTATCATTCTTTCCCCCTAAAAAATACGTTATGTAAGCTTTTGATAGTTGTTTTGTTGCATTTAGAAGTTTATGCAATAGAACCAGTTTTCTGTGTAAATGAAGGAGAAATACTTCTTAAAACTTTTTTCACAGTTTGTATACGTACATTATACATGCACAAAATCATAATCAGCTCTAATAACCCTGTAGATCCTTGGACGGTTTATCTACAGCCCTTGACATGTCCAGTTTGTCTTGTAAATTGGTTGCCTTTAAAACTAACAGCTGTACTCGTGAAATAACTGAACATCCACTGCAACTCTAACCCTTGACTCCCTAACTCTGAGCTAAAGTATGTATGGTGTATTACTTACCTCTTAGTATTTTCATGCCACCAACATTGCTCTCAACTCGATTGCCCCAACATCCATCTACCCCACGTATAGAGCCTCTAAAAAGTATTCACGCCTCCTTTGAGGTTTCGTCCTTAATAGCTTTTCAACAGTCAATTGAATTCACTTTGGCTCAAAAGAGTCTTTTCGGGAAATTTATTTGTCAAAAAGGCCAAATGAAATTGACCATGATTTATCATCCATCCATCAGTTACATCTTTCTGCGTGTTTGCATTTTCTCCCCGTGCAGCGTGGGTTCTCTCCGGGTTCTCCAGCTTCCTCCCACACAGTCCAAAAACATGTTGAGGTTAATTGGTGATTCTAAATTGTCTGTAGGTGTGAATGTGAGTGTGCTTGGTTGTCTGTCTCTAAGTGTAGCCCTGTGACAGACTGGTGACCTGTCCAGGGTGTCCCCTGCCTTCACCCTAAGTCAGCTGGGATAGACTCCAGCCCCCCACGACCCTAGTGAGGATCAAGCGGTGTATAAATAATGGATGGAAATTCCTTGCATGTGCACACACTTGAATACTTGGCTAATAAAGTTGATCCTGTTTGAAAATGTTAGCATGCCAACTTACTAAACTAAGACAGTGAACATAGTAAAAGCTGCACCTGCATGTTATCATTCTAACGGTGCATTTGGCTCAAAATACTGAAAAACAACTTTACAGGTTTGCTAGCAGTGCACTTGTTTTAGATATAATCCTAATATTTCGGTTCTACTGTGCAGCCGTGGGTTACTTTAATCATATTTCTCATCTATGAGTCATCTTCCTTTAAGCTGGTAAAAGCCCCGGAATTCAAAAGAAACACTGCAGTATACATCTTTCTGCACCGTCATAGATGTACTGATGATCGACACAGTTGATAACAACCACAAACCCTCACCATCGTGTTGAAACATATTAACATCTCCGGATGAGGACGAAAACTGTGGTTTTATGAAAGTAGGCCAGCTGCCTGCCACAGTCCATAGATAATCATAGCAGCATGACCGCTAGATGCATGATCTGTAGCTCACATCAACAGAGAGATCAACAAGAAAAACACAGCAAATATACAACTCTGGAAACAGGTTATTTTATGTTGTAGTCAGGTGACGCGTTTTCTCAGGAGATACCCGACCAGCTGGCACTCAGCGAGCTCGCACAAACAGTTTTTTCGTTGCTTAAAGTTTGTTCAGCTTCCCCCTTACTCTGTAGGGCTGCATACCTAACCAGCAGGAATGTGATTGTACTGCAGCAGAGGAGCCGTCAGACTTGTGGCTACAAGCACACAGCTGATTGCATCACATCCGAGTGAGTTATCTGAGGGAGTCGGAGGGTGTGTATGTGAGGGAGAGAGAGAGAGAGAGAGAGAGAGAGAGAGAGTCTCTTTTTTTCTTTTCCTTCCAGTTAACATGTTAAGTCAGATCAGGAAGTGTGATGCTGTGACAGAACAGAAGGAAGCGGGCACACAATGGCACTATGTCTGCCTCTTGGCCTGGTAACATGAGAGGCCCGTGGCTGAAGACCCCTCTGCTGCTGCTGCTGCTGCTGCTGACCTCTCTGACTGGCACAGGTACGACCAGGAACTGTAGCTTCTCAACTCACCGAATTGAGGCGAAGCAGCTCTCTGCACTGTCCTGTCTCCTCCCTGCTCTCGCTTTTGTTCTTCTGTGTACTTTTCTAACTTTGGAACAACAAGTGTTACTTTGTGATGGAAAGCAAAGCGCATTTATTACTGACACCAAGAAATCTGAAGAACTTTTGTTACTTTTATAGATAATCAAATAACACCAGAAACAGCAGACAGATTACATTGTTGGCCTTAAGGAGTGTTAAAATGTTAGTTCCATTTTTGTTTGAGTAACTTTAATCCGCTTTTGGTTCAAACTATGCCATGTTTAGAAACTTGACTCCTCCTGCATTTCCAAGCTTTTCAGCTTTTAAAAGTAACGACTGGTCGTAACAATGTCACAGTTAGACTTTAGCATATTTCAAAGTAACATCGGTATTTCTGTTTTATGTGAAATTGAGAATTTTTCTCAAGCAAAAGAAATATTCTCTGACGAAGGGAAACCTTTCACAAATTGACAAACCTCTGCCGGGAACAAACGGCTACATCTCCACCTCCTCTGTCCTGTACAGGAGTTTTGCAATAGTTTAGATTTTTGTTGCAACCGTTAATGAAATCGTAAAGACAGAAGTCCCATGTGATCTGACTCATTTTTTTGTTTTACGACGCTGATGTTGTTTTTGAAATAACAACCTTCATTTGCACGTGAGAGGTTGCACGTTTCACTCATAATATAAGCACTGCTTAAGTTTTACCTTTAGGTTTCACTCTCCTTTTCAATGATGTGACAGTGCTGTGACATAAAGTAATAAGAGGTTTTTAATTGCAGTGCTTTGCGACGAAGATGAGGGTGCAGAGCCTGAAACTGGGACAGAAGACGAGGTGTCAGACCCTGAAGCAGTAGATGACGCAGCTACTGAAATTCCAGGTGAGGCGTGAATAATAAAGCACATTCCAGAAATATAGTTCACCATGTGGCCAGAAGTATATGGACTGATGTGTAGTCATATTCAATGTATTATGTTAAGTGTTTTCATGAGTGGGTCTATAGACTCCTTAGATCCATCTCAGAAAATGTCGTTTTGCTTTTTTTACTTAACCAAGTAAAAGTCTGGGTGAGATTAAAACGGCCTTTTATTTGCGTTTGGTCACGATACAAACAGCATTACAATAGATGCAATAAAAATAGGGCAATACACACAATATCCAGTTTTAAAGCATAAAAAAGGCTCAGAAAGTGTCTCAGAAGCTAAAAATGATACATTTATTGGCAAAGAACGACTGTTTTGACCATTTGTTTCTTTCATTCTTTAGTTTTTTGCTATTTTTTCTTACATTATTTGATGCAGTGGTTCAGAGTATAAGGAGACAGGAAACACGGGGAAATGTAATTAATCTAGTTATATGGTCTGCCTTTTCGTATGTTGCTGACATCAGATGTTAGACCATGTTTATGTATGTGTTTCCCTGAAATCCTCCTTGATTATAACAGATATAGACTGAACACTGCATGGCTTATGGATATTGGATATGATGGGATTATATTGGATGAATATTGGTGTGGAACATGTTCGAACATGTATCAAGGCTTTGTTAGTATCATAAGTAAAAGCTGTGTTGATTTTCCTTGAAGCTGCTGCTAGATACGTGCTGCTGATAGAGTCACTATGACAATATACATTGCTGAATGAGGCAGCCATGTTTGGAGTCCTTTCTTAGGCCAGTATCAGTTAGCCAATCACCTCTCAGTCCCTGGTTGCTGTGGTGATTCCCGCCTTTTCAGTGAAGGAGAATAAAATAGAATACAATAGAATATCTTTATTGTCAGTGCGATTTGTAACAAAATTGATCAGTGTTTTAGTGCATAATAGATAGATACAAAATGCATAGTTAGGTAGTAGGTACCGATGTTCAGACAGTTAGTGTGAGTCTACAAAGGAGTTAAATGTGACATCAGCCACTATTGCTGTAAGAAAATTCAGAGTTTCCCCAAAAAATTCATGAAACCTAAACTGCGACTGCGTTAAAACAGTTAAAGACAATAAAACTCTGGTTTAGACGAATAGCTTTTAAACCCCCTGACCTGTTTAAACTTTGGATAAAGTTTCTACTGTAAAATATGCCGGAGCTACAGGGTTCCAAATATGGCTGGGTTTTGGCAGTTGTCTGGACAACTTGCCATTCATTTCAATGGGAATTTTTAATAAATTTCATAAAAACCATACAAAAGATCACTACTAAAAGACATAGCACATCGTTCCCAATCAAGCTGCACATTTTGATGTGTAAGTTGTATGGGTTTTCTCAAAGCTGCAGGACAAGCTAGTGCCACAAATCGACACTATAATAAATAAGCCAGAGGAATAGCAATAAATGTGCCAACACTTATGCATTGTCACACTTCAATACAACACTTAAGGTTCTCCACCGTGTGCTTTGCTTTGTTTGCAATACATTCTCACAGTTTTGACTTCAAGGAAAGTACGAGAGATTTCCAAGTGAGCTTGTGATCAACAAGTCACAGGTTATAACTCAGTATCAACTGCTTTTATCAATATTTTGACTTCATTTTATTTTTTGTGATTCCAAAAAACCACAAAATGTTCAAATGTGCAGATTTTTACCCATTTTTATTCATTTTTTTTCCATTTATTTATTTTATTTTTATCCATTTTATTGTTATCCAAAAGTATTTCAGAATTGTCTCCAGAACAAACAAATCTCCAGATAAACAATTTAAATAACATGAAGGAAATGGCCTTGAAGTTATTTTGTTCTTCTGTTCTCTCCCGTTCATTATCTCATAACCCCTCAGATGTATCTTGTGACCCTTTAATAGGCGCATAAACCCGAGTTAGTTAACTGTACAGCTGAGAGTGGCTCTGCTCTGAGTAGCTACAACAATAAAATGCTTCTTGCACACATATCTAATAATGTCAAAGGGACACATTTCCTGCAGAAAGAATACTGTCACTTTTGATGAACGAAGTACACATTGTTCTCTTTTTGAGAGCAGGAGTTCTACTTGTAATCCATGTTTTAGAATAATGTACTAAAACTTTTACTTCAGCAAATGATCTGGTAGGAAAAGCACTTCTGTCATACATTTAAGCTTGCCTGTTTTTCTTTTTAATTATCATTTGTTAGTTGTTGTTGTTGTTGTTGTTTTTTTTTTAGAAATAAAAACCTGTGAAGGGACCACCCAGGAGTGGAAGCTGTCACAGTAGCATATTTTATATATTCTTGTTTTTGGAAGGAGATGTTCAAAAACCACAGTAATCTGCGATGTGTTTGGGTGTCCGCATACTTTTGGCCATGTCTAATGAGCTGACAAGTCAAAACTCGTGAGAATTACTTGCTGTAATTGTAAATTCTTTTTTTTTTTCTGTTGTTCTCAACTGTCTGTGATTCTATTTCAGCAACAGATCCCTCACCCACAGAAACCGAAGGTTCAGACCCAGGTGAGGCCACAACAGGTTTTCTTCTGCATTAGAAATGTTTGTGTCTCCACCTTTAGACTTTTAAAGCTTTTTTTCTGCTCAGTCACTTCCTGGCACCACATAGAAAACCACCTCATGATATCTTGTTTATTGCAGCTGAAGAGAACACAGTAGACCACTCTGGAGACGAAACATACAGTGGTACGTCAGACCAAATGCATACATCAGCACCTTTATGCTTGTTGTAATCACTGGGATACGTGAAATGAAATGTAATCGTCTTCATCTGTGAAAAGACAGACATGAAGAATCACATAAGCACCAAATCTCATCGGAGCCTGTTTGAATCAATGACTGATGAGCTGCTCTGCTTCCACAGATGTTCCACTGGTAACTACAGAGTACTCCAACGTTACAGACTGGACCGCTGAGTCAGAGGACGAGGAGGGTTTGAATCCCATCATCATCCTGATTCCTGTGGTGCTGGTAGTCGTAATCATCGGCATGATAGTTTGTGGTATTTTCATCAACCGCAGGTGGAACAAAAAAGCGAGAAATCAAGGTGTGACCATCACAGGAGGCAACACTTTAAAGAATCAGTTCTCTCATCTCACCAAAAAAAAAAAAAGATATTTTTCCACATAACTCTGAATCCAAGTGCACATTGTGGTATAAGGGTGTTAAAAGTATGCAATCTAATTATTATGTATCTAACATTTTTACTGACAACACTAAAATTTCTGTGTGGTTTAATACCACTAGAGTTCATTTAGTTTAGGTTTTTTTTTTTTTTAAATAGAAGCCAAAGTTTTAAGTTTGACATCCACTTCTAACACATTTAGTTCATATAAAAAACTCACCAATCAACTCTTTATCCCTGTCTGCTCTTGATATCAACATTACAGCTTGACACATTTATCTACTGGATGTTTTGAACTACAGATGGTCCGCATTTAATTACTGTAGTGCTGTTTGAATTCCACCGTGTTCAGTAGACCTTCCACCTGTTCTCTCCTGACAGAGCTCAGTAAAGAAGATCCATATTTGGATGGATCCAGCACAGAGAAGGTGCCAATGTAAGTGCTGACAATTTAATCAAACTGTCTTTTCCGTAGCTGCTAAGTTGAAGGACTGTTGGCAGTCATGTACAGTCAAATTTATTCATTCCCCTCCCTTAAAGAAAAGGCAAAATTCACAATCGTCACTCCGATAACTAGAAGCTGAACAAAGTAATAATACATTTTTTAAAAAAATGCAAAATTATAATTTAGTGAAATAAGACATTGCTTTTGAATTGTGGTCGCAATGAACAATTTAAACAAACAAAAAAGCAAAACTGTCTCGGACAAATTAGAACACTTCGCTGATGAGCAGTGGACCAAAATGAAACACCTGTCAACAGGTGCAGAAGTCTGATTGAGAGTTACAGAAAACACTTGATTGCAGTGATTGGCTCAAAATACAAAATATTAGTTTTTGGGTCCCATCATGCTTGTTTGCTTGTATTTATTTATTTATTTATTTATATTTCTGTTGAAGCAATGTCATGATTTTAATTGAATTTTCATTTATTATTACTTTTGTCAATTTCAACTTATTTCAGTGACAGTCTTCTTCTATGGGAGGGTATGAATAAATTTAAAGACAGCTAGAAGAAATCTGTGTTATCTTAGGGCCCAGTGTTTTGTCAGAGTTTATTCTCAGTGTGCAATTTCCTGTTCCCTGTCAGGTGTTGTGTTGTCATCTGTTTTTCATCTATATTGTCTCTGCTACTGAAAGCAGAAGTCACATTTCAAGCATTACTCATATGTTCCCTTTGCTGAACAAAAACGAGTGCAGCATTACAAACGATCTTGTTTTCCGACTCATAAAGAAAATGTAAAAATCACATTTTTGTTGCAAATAAGTTAATCTCGTCATTTGTGCACAAAAATCTTTTGAGATGTTCAACAGGTGACTGTGGTCAGGTTTGGATTTGAAGGACACTGATCAGATAGTGGGACCAGTACACAGACTCTTGTTCGACCAGTCACTACCACCTTAAAATGCAGCTTTACTCCAATGACACAGATGACAAGAGAAAAACGAGAATGAGCTGTTGCATGCTGGCATGTCAGATAAGACCATAAACAGGAACTTGAACGTCCACAACTCCTCCATTTGTCATCAAAGAAAACGCGTCAGATAGCTCTGGATGAACGTGTCCGACAGGGTGAACCTGACCCCCAAAATGTCTGTCGTAACTTTGCCAATAAGCCCTTCAGAAAGAGTTGCACAACATTTCCCCAGCACCATCGACAACATTATGCGACAGACGTGTGACTCATTTCGAACTTGTGGTTTCTGATCTGTGACTCCGATCTTAATCATTTTTTTCCACTGAAGTCGTTCTTGGTTGTTTCATGACGTCCATTGTGTTGTAGAAATGCAGTGCATTGGAACAACAACGTTTTATTCTCCTGTGTTTAAACGGATGGACAGAATTTAATAAAACATTAGGCTACATGCTGCGGTTATACTTTTATTCAGTGCACATACTGAGCATGAAAGGCTAACGACATCAGATGGCCTTTGAGGGTTTTTACTGGAAGCAGGAGTGAAAACAGCAGTGAATAAAAGGGCAACAAATATTAATGGAATTACACACCAGAGAAGATGAGATATACCATTAAACAAGTGTTAGACCAAAGGCATTGTAAAAATTAATTAGCACAGTAACAAGGAGAGGGAGCTCACAAAGCTGCCAGATTAGCTACATCAATGCTAATACATTCATGCCAAGAAGAAGAAAACTAAGCCAGAATAACATTAAGTCGCCATATTGTGTGCAGCACAGTAATCAATCAAGTAAACCTACACATTAAATCTGCAAGAGTAAAAGCAAAAAGAGCTAAAACTGTTAGCCAACAGTAAATTAGCTAACAGTTAGCAAATGTATGAAATGAAAAAATACTTTATTTATCCCAGAAGGGAAATTCAATAAGTATAAGTGGCACATTAGCTAACGGCTAACTTAACAGCAATTAGCAGCAAAAAAAATCAACAAAACAGCTAACTTTAAATAGCAGAAGGTAAAATATGTCCATCAGTATTTACAGAAAGGTGAAAGCATGTTATGTTTATGTGCTTCAGGTCAGTGTTTTTTCCTCTGTGTTCCCTCATTAAACATCTGATGACACCTCATGTTTATCTGCCATCTTTGTAGATACAACTGTACAGGAAGTAGATCAAACTAGTTCCACCTGCAGCAGCTACAGAGTGACGTGCTGCTGACACACTGATGCTTCACTATGACTAATCTAATGGTGTCATAATATGTCAGTCAGAGGGACCAACCCAGAACTTTTAACATGTATCTACATTTTGCTGTCAATACTCATACATGTACTTTTAATTAAGTAGAGTTTTCATGCCTAACTTTTACTTGTAATGGAGTATTTTTGCATGATTGTATTGGTTCCTTTACCCAAGCGAAAGATCTGACTAATTTCCCGCCCCACTGATGAGTAACTGCTATCAGCAACAGAATGAAGACAGTGCCTGAAACATTTAAACTAGTTCCCTGACGTGACTCTCTGGCCTGTTTGTGTCTTCCAGGCCAATGTTTGAAGAAGACGTGCCCTCTGTACTCGAACTGGAAATGGAAGAGTTGGACCAATGGATGAAAAAAGATGGTAGGTTTCTGTGACCAAACAAAAATCAACTACCCAAAAACAACTCAAAAACGTAAAAGAATATTAAGAAATGGGATCAATAAAGTCAGTCACCAATACACACAGTTAAACTTTAACTCATGCAGTCTAATGCAACAACCCTACAGCATTTAATACCTCAAAGAAGGATTGGTTTAAAAACGGGGATTCTTATCTCTGCTCTGTTGTGTTTGATTCATTACTTTTAGGCATGTGCACTTAATAAACTTCCAAGAGAGTGATTTTTCCTTCAACTTTTCCAACTGTAACATTTTGGAGTTTGCCCAGCAGATGTCACTGTTGCTCTGTAAGACGTAAACATACAGCCGCTAACATCTCTGATGTCCATTTATAACAGTCATTTTTACTTCATAAAGTGTGAAAAATTGAATAATTACTACGACACTAGTGAAGGTTTAGTGAATATGTAAGTGTTCTCATGTCTTTGTCTGCTGGTGTGTTTGTTTCAGGTGGAGCTGCAGAGGACTCAAAACATACATAGCTGCAGTTTTCGTAAGTATTCTTTTTATACTGTCTGGTTTATGAAAACTCACAGATTTTTTTTTCATCCACTTAAAACAATTTCTATCAGTTTTAGTGACAATATGATGGAAGAACTTTTTTTAAATGAACAATGTGAGCAATGTGGTTTTAACATCCATCCATCCATTATCTTCATCCTCATTAGGGTCGCGGGGGGCTGGAGTCTATCCCAGACGACTTAGGGTGGTTTAAACATTAAGAAATGAATTACAGGCGTATACACAGTATTCACCCCCTATTTAATGTGGCCTTTTCTGTGAGCCCTTAGAGCTTGTTTGGCAATGCTGATGACTAAACCGAAACAGTCACTGTGTCACAGCATGGGAACTTGTATTTAAAGCAAAGAACTTCCAGTGACATGTCCCTGCAGGTGTGAATGCCACCTTCTCATAACGACCTCACTCTGAAGAAAAAAACCTTCATGTTTATCAGTATACACAACAAGTCTTACAACTAACAAATTACACGCAGGTTGTTACACAATAACACAACACAAATCTGTGGTTCGCTGTCATTTCAAACAGTTTCCCCTTTTTTTGTGCCAGCCTCTGTTTGTTGTGATGCACCAGCTGGTTTCAGTATGGCTGTGTCTGATGATCTGTGACCCTTTCGTAATTACACATGGTACTGTTTGAAAGCACAAACACTCCTAACATCTGTTAGCGATTACAACAGGCATGCATTGGAAGTGTGATGCAACTTAACCCTGGAATAGTCTCCTTTACTGGAAGGGCCGGGAAGGCGAGGTCAAGGTCCACTCCACTAACTGTTGACCAACATCATTTACACACTGCTTTTTCTCAGGGTTTTATTACCAAAGCGGTGCAAGAGCTAGAGGGTGCTTTCATTTAACAGGGAGGCACTCAGTACACACTAGGTTACACAAGAGATCTCAAAACAGAAGTAAATGTGATGTTACTGCTGCTGTGGTTGCACAATGTGATGCCATCTACGGCAGCAGCTGTGCTGTGTTTGTCAGACCTGTGAAATTCCGCTGTAGCTGCGGCGCAATGATTTTGAAACCTACCAATCTTTTTGCATGGGAAAGAAGTTGAAGCACACTGACGCGACTCTCAAAATCCAAAGGCTTTTACTTCCGCTCTAAATTAAGTTGGTAGAAAAAAAAAAGAGTGTACCATTATTTACTGAATGCTGCATTCATTTATTCTGACTTTCTTTCTTAAGCTGTTGTGGGGAAGATTTTAAGATAGTTATTTACACATTCAGCAAACAGACAGTATAATTCGGAGCCATGTTTCTGTCCACCTGATGAATGCAAATCCGATATTCACTCTCCTTTCAGCTGCCGCAGCCCATGCCAACTCCTGAGGGAAAAATTCTCTCTTTCACTGCTAAATGCTCCATTACATCCACTAGCTAGTTGTTAACATTGTCTGTCTGCATTTTGATGCTGGGGGAAGGCTGCATTCAGTTTCCAGCTGCAGCTGGAAGCAAAGCCGACAAAAGCGGTGAGAGTGAACAAAAAAATAAATAAAAATGGTGAACTGCAAATTCAAAATTATGAGTTGAAAGACATTAAATCCTCCAAAGAATTCCATAGAGTCGGACAATCATTTTTGTGGGTTTGTCACTGTGAGTTTTATGTGCACATAACTATTTAACCCATTGTCCATTAAAAAAACGATTACAACCGTGACTTGATAATCAGACACTAAATATAAAACCTTCTTTTATGTCAAATAGCAAGGCTGTTGGATTGTCAAGACGGAGGTCGAGATACAAGGAGGGCTTGATGCTTGAAGGGGCATTTGTTGTAAATATTTATTGTTCATAGTTGTTCTCATAACTAGTAGGGCTGGTCCGAATAGCACTTGCTGGTCTCTGGATATTCAGGCCCAATTAATGATGAATATCCAAATATTCGGTGCCGTCGGGGGCACTTCCATCCCGGGAGGCACTTCCATCCTGGTGGAGCCCCCCGACAGGGTGGAAGTGGCACGAACGCACAGGTAGTACTTGGCTGCTGATACCAGTTTAGGATAGCGGTCCCAGTTCTGTTTCCACCATCGGAGGTGGTGGTGGTGGCGGTGGCGAGGGAGTGGCGGATATGCTCCACCGCCACCATCCGTGTTTACTTCTGTAAACACTGAGCACGCTCACAGCGTGTGACGTCGTCATGTCCAATTCTGCGCATGCAGGACACTTTTGGGTCGTATGAAGTTAGTCTATGGTTCACAGAGGGGATCACATACAAGTCGTATTTATTTGGACATGTGAACGAACTTGCAAAAAAATCGGATTTCACAAAAAAATCTGAATTAAGCGTTAAGTCCTGCAGTTGGATTGTTAAGTCAGATAATATGACATTATCCTTTTTTGTGACATAAAAGATCATGTTGGAGTCGGAATCCAAGGCTGTCCATATGTTAAGGCTATTTTTCATGGGTTCCGTTTGTTTTTCCTAAAAACCTGTTGGATAGCAAGGTTTTTGGATTGTTCAGGGTCGGATTATCGAGGCACAACTGTACTAGCGTTGAGCATTTAGTATCTTACCAGTAACACACAAAAGTAGCTTAATGTCTACACGAAAATTACAGCTAATTAACACACTTAGAAAACAGCTCTTCCATGAACTTTCTGTGCATTGTTTGGTTTGTGTGTGAGACCACTGCTGTGCACACTGTGTGTTTCAGCTCAGCTTGCAGGGAGCAGAGGTGAAAGTGTAGGTTGTGTTGTGATCATTGTTGCCAGAGTCACGGGTTTGGTATGTTCCCGGTGATTCTTACTTGACGCTGTGTGAACAACACTCCACCATATGTGTTGATGACGACAGTGTAAGACTGTGAATGGACTGTACAGTGCTGTCAGTGGGTGTGAGTGTCAGGCCCTTACTGAAGGAAGGAAAACAGGAATATATTTGGTTGAATGAGGCTGTAATTTAAACCCTTTTGACCAAACCTTTCCGCTGTTTCTTCTCTTTCAGTTTGAGTCATTAGCCACCACTGAAAATGGCCACCTTTACCACTTAGACGTCTCTCTATTAGGTGATGACTAAACTCAAGTCACTGGAGTTCAAAGACTATAGCGGACCGACCTCTGACTTGGACACCTCTCTCTCCCATGTCTGCAGGTTAAAGGACGCTCTCCTGGGATACAAGTCAACAACGCACTATGACCAACTCTGATCTTCTGACCTTTCCACAATAATTTCACAACATTCACAACCACAGGAGTTAATCTGATGGTCAGGAAACAACACCACGACATTTAAGGACACTTACAAACATTATTTCTGTATTTATAATGAAACAATCAGCAATAAAAATGCATCTGAAAACTTTATTAAAGCAGCACCTCCTGATCGTCTTCAGTGGGCTGCAACATGCAACTTGTTTTCCCTGTTTTTAACGCACATTGACAACATGTTTAGCAGTTATACAGGTACGTTTACAGTGTTTTATGTCTCAGTGGATCTGCCAGAGTGAACAATTTTACATTAAAACCTGAAAAACACAGTTTAGGTTGCTACCAAATGTTCCCTGTTTTGCAGATTCATACTGTTAAGGAGCATGTGGTCAACACAGAGAGCATCAGATCGATATCTTCCTCCATCTTCACAGATATGGCTGCTCATAGTGTGTCCTGACAGGTCAAAGCCTCTTTGTTGTACAACACTATGCGACTCCTGCTGCAGGTTCTCATAGGGAAATATTGGACTCAAGACTGTGGCCATGCACGACTGAGAGAACCGCTAATTTTTTTTACATCCGCACAGAGCTACTTAGAACTCATAGAGAATGTGTTTTGCTTCTATATCACAGAGCATGAAAAGACAATTGTGCTGTTTTTGAGGCTTTTGATAATTATTGCCCATCACTGAAAGAGCTTTGTAAAAGCTGCGACTGATAAGATGTGTATCTCACCTCAGATGATAACTCTCCAACTCAATAGCTTCTATCTTCAGATGTTTTGTTTCCATTTTTTTTTTTTTTGCCTTGAATGTGTTGAATCTCAGCAGTCGTAACACTGATCTAAATGTGAGCTCGACTTTCTTTATGTGTCATTCAGTATTGTGCAGGATCTTGCACTGTAAATATGAGAATACAGTATGCCCTAAGATATTTTTTTCATGGAATGCCTTTTGTAAATATTTCTTATCAGGCACTCGTGTTGTTGTTTTTGCTGATGAAGCTTTGATTAAAATTTTAATGAATAAAATCTCCTGATAGAATTCTGATGTCTTTTGGTTTTTGTTTCAGACTGAAACATACTGACTGACTCTGGTGATCTTTAAACTTTTGCTTTAGTGCCACCATGAGGTTTGGTTTGGATTTTAATGAAATGGCTTCTGTTTGTCTTGACATTACCTACAAATATTCACAGGATGAACCCCTAAAGAGTTTGGTGATCTGATCGTTTTTTTACTGTAGCACACCCAGCAGCTAAAACCTTCTACCTGTGCATGGAAATATCTCCACATCTGTATGATGAATTGGCACAAAAGTTGGTGCAGACATTCATGGTGCCCAGAAGATGTATCTTAATGACTTTGGCCATTCCTCTGCTGCCATAATAAAGTTAATATTATTGGTTTAGAATGTCTTAGCAACTATTGTGCAGCTTGTCATGAAGCCTTCATGGCCTTCTCAAGATGAAATGTAGCAACTTCTAAGAATCCCAGACTGTTTTTTATCGTTGTTGTTTTGGCGCCATTTTCAGTGTGAAATGCTTTGTTTTATGATCACAACTAAATCCATTAGCCTGGGGGGTACTTACTTACTTACTTACTTACAGCTAATTAGCACAGCTTTTCCCATGCAAGCATGCACCAATACTGCAAGTATGTCAGTGTGTTAATGTTAGTATTAAGCTCAAACTGTTCTTTAATACAACCTCACACAGCTTCTGTTGTCGCTATAGTCTCTGTTTCTTATTGAATATGGTGTCTTATGAAAACAAAACACAAGGTATATGCCATCCATACACTTTTCTGTTTAACTGGGAAAATAGCATTTATCATACCAGCTCAAAATGGTGTAATAATAGATATATAAAACAGCAGAGTTAAAGCAAAATTCAACATGTGTTTCTGTCACCCTGTTTCAGCTGCTTTGTCTGCTGCTGTAAATCCACAGATGAGCCTCGGACGGTTTCCTCTTTGAGCTCTGTATGTCTGACGGACACTTGTTGTGAAAAGCTGATGGGATTCATACCAGAGGAAGGTCTGAGGGAACAAGGACAGACAGTCCATGCAAACCAATGAATACAAATGAGAAATAAGTCTTTCGCTGCATTTTCTTCTCTTTCCGATCAGATTTCCAGACAGCAGTTGCGTGTCACTGCACAGACAGTCTCAACGCTGACTTAACATTAACATTTTGATACTAAACAACCACTGCACTGACCAAGTGTTGAACTACTGCTTACACGGATTAATAAAGCCTGCTTTATATTTGATAGTACTTTAAATATGGAGCATCATAGAACAGTGGTTTAGCCATGCTTTTACTTGTCTAAATAATACCTGAAATGATAGAAAAACAGAGACCACCTTCATCTTTATCATTGCAACACATGTCTCAGCCAATAACCTACTGATTGGATGCAAACTGCTCAGATCTCTCAGGCCATGCAGGCTTTTCATGGAAACTGTGTGAAACCAGCTCACATCTGCCTAACACGGACTCCTAGACAAGTTTGGGAATCATTAAAGGGGCATTCCACACCTTAAAATGTCTGCTGTTTTGAATAAGCTTTGAGAAGTTAAGAAAAAATCCCTTTCTTGATATTATCCAGGTGTCTCAGCTTCAGCTTTAACTGTGCTTCACAACTGCCATGAATATAGGTCCCTTGGGAAGCTTTTGGAGCTTAATTGTTGGGTACTAAGAATCAAAGTATTTGGACCTCTGGTGTATCCGACACAAGTACCCAAACACAACAATAGTACTTTTAATACCATACTTGCCTTTCCATTTCTGATCCTTTAATACCTTTATGATCCTGTAAGCTAGATCCTCAGGCTTAAAATTGAAGTGTAACTGTGTAACTGAATCTGTATCTTTATTTAAATGTATTTTTTTTTAAAAAGTCATATTAACCCTTTACATTATTTTTAAACATGTTTTTGCTTAAGTTGTCTCCATTTGCTTAATGCACAGTTTTTTAAATTCCACCCACAATATTTTAGTTTAGTCTAGTGTTATGTCTCAATTTTCCTTATGTCCTATATTGCTGCAAGCTTTTCTGCTTGCTTTTTGTTCGTGTTCATTTGTAATAGAGCTAAAATTATTGGGTAAATTATCCATCAGCGCACTGCCAGAAAATTAAGCATTTAAGTTGCTTTTTAAGAAAAATACCAAACATGTTCTGGTACGAGCTTCTAACATGTCAGAAGTTACTGCTGCTCTTGATTCTAAAATGAATGTTTTTGGATACATGTGATCATATCTTATTACTTAGACTCTAAAAATCATGACTGCTCTTTTCACAATACTGTGAATTAACTGATAAAATAATATAAGAGCAAAATGTAAGTTGCAGCCCTACTTTGAAATTTGTTGCCCTGTGTGAAGCTCTTTCCAGCTTCATTTTTGAAAGGGTTTTGAAACTAAAGACAACCATTATGCCTACATCACTACACTGTAAGCCTGGCTTGGCTTGAACAATGCTTCCAGACAGACGTGCTACAGCAGCAGGTGTAGAGTTTGTGTGAAGGCAGAATCAGATTATGGCTAAACTGGTTTACATGTAAATAAGACAGCACAGCTTCTCACCAAACATGACTCTGGCAAACATTATGTAATTGGTAATGCACTGGCTGAGAAAGCTGAGGCTGTAACTTGAGTCACTTTCATCTGACTTCTACTTCAGCAAGCAGCAACGCATTCTCACACCGAATACGCACATTCACTGGTATATTGGAGGACAGGTATGTTTGTAACTTTGATTAAAGGCATCTCTTAGAGGCATGTCTGTCACGGTGAACTGAAATGTGATGTAATCCCCTAGAGGACACATTCATAACATCATATTTCCTGTGACCCGTCTCTCTGAATTTACCAAGCTTTGTTGACTGAATCGCTGTCTACCCAGCAGGCACTGTTGCTGCCTGTCACACTCTATCAGCTACATTTCACAGCCGCACCAGCATCCGTGTTTGTTTGCCTTCAAGAGCTGTGATGTTACAGAGCGTCGTCCGTCTGTCGCAATCATCACATTCAGCCATCCTTGGGCAATGTTTGAGTGGAAAACACAGAATACACCAGGGAATCTGTGTGTGTTTGTGTCATTACATAAGTCTTACTTTACAATCGGTTTTGACTTCGGTCCTTTAGAGTTGTGATGAACAATTTGAACAAGATTAAACTTCTTCAGATTGTTTCTTACACCATTTGGACACCAGCCAAGGTTGTAACCACCACTGAGGACACAGATATCATGGCCCCTGCATTTTCATGGGCATTTTTGTGAAAAGGTCCCCCTATGGTGTGATTTTCAAAGATGAATTCCAGCATTTTTGACTTGGTTTAAATAATTTTGGCTAAAATCAAACAAGGAAATAAGAAATGCATTCATGAATACAAAAGTTCAATGTGTTTTTCAAACAGAATTTAATCCTACATAGAAGGGAGAAACCTCTTAGATTATTTAGCACTGTGGTTCTTAACCTGAAGGTTAGGGTCCCTCAAGGGATCTTAAGAAAAATCACCAGTCTCTTGTGTTGTTTTCTAGTAGAATCATATATATATATATACAGTTGAAACCAGAAGTTTACGTACACTGTATAAAAACACACAAAACCTTTTTTTTTCTCACTGTCTGACAGTAAATCAGACTCAACTTTTCCTGTTTTAGGTCAGTTAAGATTACCAAAATTATTTCTATTTGCTAAATGCCAGAATAATGAGAGAGATCTTCTTTTTTTTTCAGAAACTTTCTTTTAAGTCAGAAGTTTACATACACTAAGATCACTATGCCTTCAAACACTTTGGAAGCTTTTGATTGATTAATTGACAACATTTGAGTTAATTGGAGGCACAACTGTGGATGTATTTTATGGCACACCTCAAACACACTGCTTACTTTTGTGACAACATGGAAAATCTAAAGAAATCAGCCAAGATATCAGGAAGAGAATTGTGGACCTCCACAAGTCTGCTTCATTCTTGGGCACAATTTCCAGATGAAGGTTCCACGTTCATCTGTTCAGACAATTGTATGCAAGTATAAACACTATGTGAATGTCCAGCCATCATACCGCTCAGGAAGGAGACGGGTTCTATGTCCCAGAGATGAAGTGTTTTGGAGGGAAATGTGTGTATCAACCTCAGAACAAAAGCAGACGACCTTGTGAAGATGCTGCTGAAGCTGGTCAGAGAGAGTCATTATCCACAGTGAAACCAGTCCTGTACCGACATGGGCTGAAAGGATACTCAGAGAGGAAGAAGACATTACTCCAAAAGCAACATAGAAAAGGCCAGATTACAGTTTGCAAATGCAAATTTGTGGGCAGAGCCAAAAAGGTGTGTGTGAGAAAGGCGGCTTACAAACCTGACTCAGTTCCACCAGTTCTGTCAGGAGGAATGGTCCAGAATTCTATCAAACTATTGTGAGAAGCTTGTGGAAGGAAACCCAAAACATTTGACCCAAGTCATATAGTTTAAAGACAACGCTACCAAATACTAAGGAAATGTATGTAAACTTCTGACTGAAGAAAGTAGGAATAAAAAATTCTCTCTCTTATTATTCTGGCATTTAGTGAATGGAAATAATTTTGGTAATCCTAACTGACATAAAACAAGAAAAGTTTAGTCTGATTTAATGTCAGATAGTGAGAAAAAAACATTGTGTCTTTTTTTTAACAGTGTATGTAAACTTCTGGTTTCAACTGTATACTTCTTCAGACCTCTTTTAAATCCTTTCAATGCAACGATTTTAGATCACAAATCCCTCTTTTACTGAAACTTCCTTAACCCACATTGATGGTAAGACCATAACCTGTGATAAGGGCTCACAAGTAAACATGACTTTATGCCAAGAGGTCACAAGCCAAAAAGGCCAGAAAACATGGTTTTAGATGATAATTGGGAAATATCATGTAACAGCTTTATAGGAATAAAAACAAAAAAACACAACAGTTGGGTGAATTAGATACTGATTTTTTTAAAATTTTTAAATTTTTTAAATGAAT